GGGAGCTGGCTGGTCACTAAGATGCACAGGGCGAGTCTAGGTGGGGGACAGACGCCCTTGGCCGTGGCACAGATGGGGAAGGGGTGGTCTAGCAGGTCGCGCCTGGTCTGTGCAGTTACAGCTGAGTGTCAGTGGTACCACAGTGCCGAAAAGCTGGACTGGGTTTGTCCAGCTCCCGGGGGAAGGAGGTTTCATGTGTGGCGTTTTCATGTGGTGATGAGAGGCTGGATAGAATTTTAAACCAAAATAACAGAAAACTGAGCACATGGGGTCTTTAGGCAGGCACTATCCTGGCCATGTCTCCCAGACTTCTGCAGCCTCCACCCAGCCTGGGCTGCCAAGTTCAGACCTCAGGGCTGGCGTGCTGAGCTCCGCTAGTGGTTCCCAGCCCTTATCCCAGTGCCTAGTCCTCTGGGACACAACCGGTGCCCTTGTGCTCTGGGACATGCAGGTTGAGAAATCGCTCGGATACTTTGGACGACCGTGAAACAGGACGCAAGTCAGAACCGTCCTACTGGCAACCAGGAAATACATATCCCAGGACACTTCTCTGGGCTATTTCCGATTTCCCCATCCACCTGGAGCTTGCTTCCCTCAGGGCATGGCATTAGCTCACAAACTTCAAATAAAACGGAAATCGCGACACCAGAGAGAGACGGTGCCACTGCAGCAGCTCCGGTAGGTGGTCTCTGGGTGATCAGGCCCCTTGGTTACTCTGGCAGAATGCTGACCGGCTAGACAGCCTGGATTTGAATCTTGGCTCCACCATTCACTAGCAGGATGATCTGGGCGAGATTTTTAACCTTTCTGTAACTCAGTTCTCTACTCTGCTAAGTGGGATAATAAGTTTGGATCTCATAAATTTACTGTGGAGTAAGTCGATTCAACATACGTAATCTGCTGTATTGAGTATACGTAATCTATTTTAATATACAGGGGCACAGGTGCTCTGGGAGTCTGGCTGCTATCATGACCGAATCGCCCACCTTCTCAGCCCCCAGTCCTGCCAAGTCCCTGCGCTGCTCCTCCGTGCTGCCACCTCCCCGCCCCGCGCAGCTCCTGGAGCGCGCCCACTCCAGGCAGCTCCAGCGCTGCTCTCTGGCGCCCCCGGCGGCCCGCAGCCTCGGCAGACCCGGCCCCCGCTCTTACCGCCGCAGCGCCCCCCCGCGGCCGCCGCCGGCCCCAGCAGAGAGCTGTAAATCTCCTCCAGCCTCTCCAGGTATCCCGCCCGGCTCGGGTTTGCCTCACTCGCCATCTGCTCCACGGCTGCCACCACCGCGTGGAAATAGCGCTCCAGGGTGCAGCGGGGGCTGGCCTGTTGGAGAGGGGCGTCTGAGCCTCTGTCCTGGCCCAGCGCCCACCCGCCCCAGCTCCCCTCCTCTCCTCGGCCCCTGGGGGCCAGGAGGGAGTTTCCTGTGAAGCCTTCTTGACCCCACAGACCCCACATCCAGGACACGCTCGTAACTTGCCAGGCTGTTGCTTGAAATTTCCTGCAACTGCGGGGGTCTGGAAGAGGGGTCCCCCCTGCCTCTCACAGGGGAGACAGCTGAGCCCATCCTCCTGAGAGCATCCCCAAGCCCTGGATCAATATTCTGTCCCCACGGGAATGGAAACGAGAAGGTAAGGAGTTCTGTCCGTTTCCATAACACCTATATCTTTGTCCTGCCACAAAGCAGGAGCTCGCCAAGTATTTTTTAAATAATTATTTAGTTAGTTTTATTTATTATTATTATTTCTTAACTTTTGACGAGAGAGAGAGAGAGAGAGAGAGAGGGAGAGGGAGAGGGAGAGGGAGAGGGAGAGGAGGTAAAGCGAGAGAGCAAGCTGCCAAGTCTGGGACTCGAACCATGGTCACCCATGTGGAAGTCCAGTGCCTTTAACCATCACACCACCTGCGGCCAATGCATGAAATATTTGTTGGGGCCAGGTGGTGGTGAGTGGCAAATCACAACTAACTGTGAGGCTGACCCCCCATGGGAAAGTTCCAGAAAGTTCCAGGTGAGCAACTGGAGACCTCCCTGAGTCTGGTGAGCATGCCCATGCCCATGACTGGGGTCTGGCTGAGACTGGGGTGGATGGAGGCCTCCTGACTCTGGTGGGGGAGTTGTCTGTCTCCACCTTCTCTCTGTGTCTCTTGCTCATGGAAGAAATAAATACAAAAAAGACCTTGTCACACGAGTATTTCCAAACATGTGTCATTCCCAAACCACCTCAACACACCACCTACACTATCATTTACTTATTAGTTTCCTTTCACTCCATTCAATGTAGGGGTTCCAAGTTTTTCAAAGGAAATTTCATACTGCTACTCTAAAAAAGCTGGTGTCACTTGTCGTAACTAGGCAATAGCTAAGATGACTGTAACGATCACGAAGCCCTATTATCAAATCCTAGCGGGGCGCTGTGGCCTGCAGAAACAGTTGCGCTTAAAGCTCGGTTAGCAGAGACAGAGGCTAGGGCAAAGTGTGGGGCGGGGCCCTTCTCCTTGACGGAAGCACATCTAAGCGTTTCCCACGGTGCCCCCCCGTGCTCTTGGCATGATGCCCTCCAGGGGCCCTGCCCCGACACCCTGAGCAGAGCTGCCCCAGTCACGTTGCTGTCTCCTTCATGTCTTCGCTACCCCTCTCCTGGCCACCAGCTAGCCCCAGGTCATTGCCAACGACGCAGGGGCTAAAGCAGACTTGAGATCTCGTCCACTCTCCGTTCTGGGCCAGGCGTCTGCTGAGCAGGGTCTTCGCTTCCCGGGCTAAGGGAGAGAGGGTCATTCCAACTAGCTAAGGGCCCAATAAATATCTATGAAAATACATAAAAAGCAGCTAGAGGGATGTGGAATCAGAGTTGGAAGGACCCACAGACTTTGTCTTGTGTGGTTCCTTTATTTTATAAATATGTTAACCACATGTTTATCAAGCTCCTACTGTGTGCCGTACTCTGGTCTAGGAGCAGGAATAGAGCGATGGGAAAAATTCCCATCCTCATGGACCTGCTATTATGGGAGGGGCAGATAATAAACAAGCTAAGTCAAATGTATAATAAGATATATATATATATTTTTTTTTTTTTGGAGAGGTTTTTGCTATAGGGCTCATGTGCTCGCCAGACAAAGAGAGACAGAGAGACAGAAAGTGAGAAATCCCCAGGGGGGATGGCCATGCCGCAATCCCTTCTCCTCCATTCTCCTCTTGGGATCTTGGGCACGCACGCACACGCACCCGGCGTGAGTTTTAAGCCACCGGGTCCGGGACGCGAACCGCGGTTGACTACATGGGAGTCCAACGACATAGCCATTACGCTAACTACTGGTCCCTATAATAAGATATTAATGAGTGCTAAAGAGAAGGCAAAGAAGGAGGGTGGGGATGTGGGATGTGGAGGAGGGGCGTGATCAGGGAAGCCTCACTGAGACCACAAGACTTGTTACAATTTGGATAACAGTCTGTCCCTTGAAGTTTCATGTTTTAGAATTTTGATGTCCCCCCACAGTCCATGTATTAGGACTTAATTGTGTTGTTAAGTGAAAACATAATCTCTTCATGGCCCTAGGGTGGGGCTGTTGGAAATAACTGTGTCTGTAGGGCAGGACCTCCATGACCGAGCTCTGAAGGGTTTGGACAGAGAAGCAATGAGGCCAGAACAGCAAGAGAAAGCCACATGGATACGGACTAGCTCTGCTCTGCTCAAAGTTCCACTTTCTGCCATTTTGTAATGCCACTGGACCTTCCATTGGACCTTCCAGCCACCAGATTAACCCCCTATTTTGTTATAAATCACCCAGTCTTGGGTATTTCTTTTTCTTTCTTCCTTCCTTTATTTTTTTGAGAGGTTTTTGCTATAGGGCGCGTGCACTTGCCAGAAAGAGAGAGACAGAAAGTGAGAAATCACTCCCAGGGGGGATGGCCACGCCGCAATCCCTTCTCCTCCATTCTCCTCTCAGGATCTTGGGCATGCACGCACACGTGCCCGGCGTGAGTTTAAGTCACTGGGTCCAGGACTCAAACCATGGTCGACTACGTGAGAGTCCAGCGACATAGCCATTACGCCAACTGCTGGTCCCGGGTATTTCTGTTAGCCACACAAAAATGAACTGAGGCAAGACCCAAAGGAGGTGAAAGACCAGGGGCGGAGTGTGAAGGCACAGGCTCACGAGCACGCACATGGAGGGACATGCTCGAGGAACGGTAAGAAAACCTGTGCATCTGAGACAGAGACAATGAGAGGGGAGGACAGCAGATGGGTCAGAGAGGAAATGACAGGCAGGGGCATGCATTCAAGGGGACTCCAAAAAGTTTGTGGAAAAACGTAATGGAAGCCCAAGTTCATTTTGGTGCAAAAACTTTCAAGGTCTATGCATAGTCTTGTTTTTTTTTCCTAAGAATAATTTTATTTAACCTTATTTTAATTTATTTCTTTTAATTTGACCAGAGAGGAACAAAGAGAGAGAAAAAAGCAAGAAAGTAAGTTGCCAGGTCTGGGATTCGAACCACAGTTGACCAGGTGGGAGTCTGGCGCTACCAACTACCACGCCACCTGCCGAACCCTAGTCTTTTCATAATACACACTTCCCGTGAACTTTTGAGTACTCTCACATACCTATGCAGTATGTAACACTGTGTACAGTGCTCAGTCTTTCCACTTATTAAAAGGGAGTGGGGGCGGGGCGCTGGAAGGCATTAAACATAAACTTGATGTCAGATACATCTGGTCCAAACCCTGGCTCAGTCGTTTTGCATCCGTGTGACCATGAGTAGATTATCAACTTCTCTATGCCTCAGTTTCTCCGTCTGTAAATAGGTGGCGACTGTATCTGTTTCTCAACGTTATGAGGAGACTTTAAAAATGCAATAGATGCAAAATGTTAAGACAGTCTAGCACACGATAGGCCTTCAAGAAGCAGTGGCTGCTATCATTAATGTTGTCTCGTTATGAAGGAGATACGTCAAAACGTTCATTGCTACTACGTCTGAGTCGCAGGGTTATGAGTAATTTTCTCGGGAACCAGCAGTTAGCGTAATGGCTGTGTCGCTGGACTCCCACGTAGTCGACCACGGTTCGCGTCTCGAACCCGGTGGCTTAAAACTCACGCTGGGCGCGTGTGCGTGTGTGCCCAAGATCCCGAGAGGAGAATGGAGGCGTGACCATCCCCCCTGGGGGGTGATTTCTCGCTTTCTGTCTCTATGTCTCTCTCTGTCTGTCTGGTGAGTGCACGCGCCCTATAGCGAAAACCTCTCCAAAAAAAAAAAAGAAATGAGTAATTTTCTCCTTTAGCTTCTATGCATTTTTGGATTTTTCTCAGTAAACTAACCATGTCCTAATTTTTTTTTTTTTTAGAGGTTTTTGCTTTAGGGGACGGGGGCTTCC